ACACATACACACACACACACACACAGAACACATATATCACACATACACACACACAGACAGACAGACACACACACACACACAGAATACATATATCACACATACACACACACACACACACACACACACACACAGAACACATATATCACACATACACACACACACACACACACACACAGACAGACACACACACACATACACAGAATACATATATCACACATACACACACACACACACACACAGACAGACAGACACACACATACACAGAATACATATACCCACACACACATACACACAAACAGACACACACACAGACTACATATACCCCTTCCCACACACACACACATATACCCAGACCATCCCATTAATTCCTGTTGAGTGACAGACATCAACCAGAGACAGTGGTCACCTGTCCACCCTGCTGGTCACTAATTGAGGTGTTGGGGAGACAGAAAATTAATCAATTACAGGTAGACTTCACTCCCCAGCCACTGTTCTCTCTCTCTCTGCCTTACACTCCTTAGGGGAAAATTAATCAATTATGTGGAGGCTAAATACCTTCCTCTGTTCTTTCTTTCTTTCTTTCTCTTGCACCAAGGCTTTTTCCCCTCCCCCACAAGCAATTACTCCTCTACCTGAACTTATTGTGGAATGGATTTCTGTTTTGGTTATAGAAATGGAAATATGCATGATAAAACTTGTATTTTTAGAAATTTGAAAATTCCAAAAAAAAGGAAATAAAATAAAAGTTATCTTTTGACATACATGGCAAAAATAGTACATCTCAAGGAAAAATACCTGCACCAAGGAGTTACAACTCCTTGCCTGCACTTTCTCTCCCCCCCCCCCCCCACGCCCTGCCTCGCCACACACTGTCCTCTCCCCCCCCCTCCCCTACAGCCCTACCCCATAATTACATCAAGTTTCAGAACAATTACCATTAGACTCCTTTATTCTGTGTTGCCATTATTTCTTGGTTCAACACCTTGTTATCACACCTACAGTTTTCCATACTAATTCAATAACAAAGACAGTCTGGTATTCTATCTGCCTCCTTACTGTTATGATATATAAACATGTAGACAACAAAGAGATAGAGAGAGAAAAAAGAGAATGATAAGTGGACAAATGAAAACTTGTTTGACAGGAGAATTTCCCATCACAGGTCATTGTAACTGTACAGAGCACAGGTGAATTAGGCCACAACTTAATAACCATCATTTTCTCCAAAATGAATAAGTAACATATAATTGAACTTCCTTTAACTGTGCTTGTTGTAATAATGAATAAAGAGACAAGAAGGATTGTATTTAAAATAATCTTCCATGTAAACTTGTGCCACTATATGTTGTTTTGGAAACAAATTAGGAGGAAATATGAACATGATTATATAATGGTTGGGTTGATTTTCTTATAATAAAAAACATACTACAGTGTTTCAGGAAAAAGAACTTTCTGATTGGGAAGAGTAATTTGGGTTATCTGTTTAAGCAATTCTGGTATTGTGAGTACAGTGTATTTCATAGACATTACAAGGGGAGTGCCTTCTGCAAATGACGTAGCTGTGTACCTTTCTGACACCATTTAACAATTATCCAATTTGCTTCAGAAATTTCAATTATCAATGTAGATTTTGTTAGATTTAGAGATATTATATATCTTATTTTGATGAAGAAGTAAACAAAGTAAAACACAACAAATAAATAACTAGTCGTGATGAAGGAAATATTTAATCTTAAAACAAAAAATACTTTCTTGACCAAGACATTTTAAAATACAACAACACTACGTGCATTGGCAGAAGAGGTAGAATATTTACCCTTAAAAACCACAAAGACTAACCTATACACAATGTTTTTCTACCACATTCTTTTAAAAAGACAACTAAGGCTTCCTGTTAACCACAAAACTATACAGCCTTTTTCCTCACTGTCACTGGTTACTGTCTAAAATAAATATCACTTCATACAACATGTAGACACGTTTTTTATCCTTGTTCATGGATAAATTTACACCAGTAAATTAATGCTGTCACTTACTCCTGACACATATCCCTTTCTCATCTTTGAAGAAGTACCTAGTCACAACTGAATCGTTTCATCAATGAATGTAAATAGTTACGTAACTTAAACCATCTTGACATAATTAGTCAATTTTTCTTCCAGTTACTATGATCACAACTTATCTCCAGTCTTTCAATGGGTCCATGAAGTCTCTGGCTTAAAGACATCTTGCAAGGAGACCTCTTTATTCGTGTCCATTCACACGGCATGATTTGCTCGCACAATGTGTGAGTGAACTATTTGCGATTCAATCAACACAAATAATTTGTTGTTGGGTGTTCATGACACTGAACCGACCAACGGTAATGAAATCCTGTCAAAGATTCTATCTACAGACGGGAGGTTCATCCTTTCATTCCGCAGTGTTCATAACCCTTCCCCCACCACAGGGGAATGAAATCCCATCAAAGCTTCTCCACCTTAATGGAAGGTTAATACCCCTCCATTGTCCCCTCCCTCTTATATTCCCCTCCAGATCGCACTGATAACGTAAACACAGAGAGATGAGCCGACCACCTCTTCTCTACGCACAGGGAGTCCTCAACATCAACACAGATACAATTACCTTGCAGTTAATTGAAATCACAGTGCAGATTACGTGCTGTTAGCCCAGCCCCAACAAACACAGGTGGATTGGCTGTTATAAATGATCCCTATCTCCAAGGACGGGTGACAATAGATAGGAATCAACATGGGGAAGGATGAATGAGAAACACGTCTTTTCAAACCTCTATACCTTTCATGTCCTCCACACCCCACAGCAGTTAATACAGTGACAGTGGGTGGTTGCTGTGTATGAGACAACAGTCAGCATACAATAACAATGGCGAGAGGGAGGGATTGTTTAACTCTAACCAGACAATGTACTGAATAACAATACATTATAGCATAGGGAGAGAGCACCTATAAGAGAATAACATGTATCCCTACCCCAATGCTTGAATAACCCTGCGTAAAAAGACCAACTAAGAACTCGTTTCTCACTGAGAAGGCCCTTGTCAATCAACTTGTCAGTTTGTTTAGCCAAGCAGAAGATTACATTCTACATTTGTAAATAAGCCATTTAAAGTCTGTGACAAGATAGGGACATTACATCATCACAAGGTGAGCTTTTAGAATTAATGAGAGTCTTTAAGTTTCCAAGCAGCTACAGTAAAATTACAATAACAATTTTGTCCAGAATTCCTAATGGAATCTATAAATAGCCACCCGCTCCCAGTTAACATGTGCTACTGCATTAATTTATCCTTAATATTCTATTCAGAATCATTAGCACTTGTAGATCCAGGATTTTACTAAAGAAAATGAGAGGACCAGGGCATATTTGGTCTTCAAGGTATTCCAAAAGATAATCATCCCAATTTTTGTATTATGTAAAATAGGGGAATCCTGCTTTCATATAAGAGAAAAGCTGCAAATTTTACTACAACAGTAGCTATTATACAATAGAGTAAGACTTACCAAAAATTCAATTACAGATTATATTAATGCAGGTTTCTAACTGGATTATCAAGTGGCGAATCTTGGTCTTGTTTAAGATGGTGAAAAACATGCATGTATGCATTTATGTTTACATGATGTAACGGCGCATAAACACACACACATGCGCGCGCACACACACACACACACACACACACACACACACACACACACACAATTAAACAGTTCTTAGGATGACAATCTTATTTGGTTAATTTTTTTCAGCTCTTTGACTAAGACAAAATCGATATCCAGATTTTAATGGCATGGCCCTACCAAATCATAATGAAGATGCCAGCACACTAAGATCTAGTTGGGAAAATGTTAAGTGTTAGTATTAACATTTAAATTGAGAACTCCTTCTTGTGGGGCATTTTAACTACTACAATAGTACAAAGACACCATTGCTCTACAAGCTATCAAGTTGCCAAGGTTGGAGACAGGGACATTAGTTAATTACCGTCTCCTCTGAATTATCCCTCTCCTCCAAGAATAAAACCTTTCATGTCTTGGTCAAGTTTTACAGCTGGATTTCCTCACAGTGGTGATAGAGGTGTCATTCCATCTGTTACGTTTAATATGAAAGTTTTCTTTTACTATATTTTTCCTTTTTCTCTTTCTTTTTCTGGTTTCTTTTTTTTTTTCTTTACAAAGTCTTATGAATGTGAAAATAGTTTCATTGGATCTCAGTTTTGATAGTCAGAAATTTTTCAGTTATGACAGATCCAGATCTATCATAAATGAAAATTTTCTGACTGAGTCTTATAAGAAGTAAATTCAGTGCCAGTAATATTTCTATCAATGTGAATAAAAAAACTTAATAGTGCATGTAAGTAAAACATCTCAATATTTGATCTTTTTCTTTCAAAAAGGAGAAAAAAGACATTCTGGGACCAAAACTTCCCGCTTCATGTTCTCTCATTTGCCAGTAATGGCACATAGTTTTTTTGAATATTAACATGGAGAAATGGAGGGTGAGAGGTGGAAGAGCAGAATGGACAGAGGAAAAAAGCCACCACCAGGAAGAGGTAGGAAGGAAGGCAGTTCTCTAGCAATTTGTATGTTTTGATTCACTCAAAGGCAGTTGAATATGGTGCCATATATAATACTAGTAATTTCACTCTCACCTACTGAAAATTACCCAAGTGAGCAACTGCTGAGGTCAAATTTAGTTTACCTGTTATTTACTATGATCACCAGTGTAATTTATTGTGCCCATGTGTAACAACAATTTATAAGACATTAGCTTTAGTTAAAGATCTAAAGTGATAAATGAATACAGCATTGGTACAATGTCTACAGTAATTACCTGTGGCGTATGAAAAATTACAAGACATCAACAATGATTTCAAGATCATAATGACAAATTAAGGCAGCAAGGATTATTAATAAGGCCAACTTCAAAGTCATAAATGAACTTCTGACCTTGTAGACATAAGGTCATATGGTTGAACATTGGTTGAAAGAAATGTTTAGATGGGCCATGTATGGAGCTGAGGTGTGTAAATAATAAATATTTTTTTCTATCTTCCAAAACTTGATCTGACTAAGGAAATAAAAAATACATTTTTGTTCATTTTTTTATAATGACCTATTTACCTACACCATAATAATCAACGCATTCATTAATTTTTTATTATTCCTATTTCATTACTATCACTTAAAAGAGTCAAAATCAGTTATATTTGTTCACATTATTTCCCTCTCACATGTGATGCACAATGCTGTTTCCTATTGTTACACACGCCAAATCATGATCTAAAAACAAAAAAAGCACAAAAATATAAGCAAAATGAACAAGCATTTATATTCAGTCAGACTTGTGTAAACGCTGAATGGGCAGTTATGCCCATCTACTTAAAAGAACTGGCATAAAATGTGTGATACCTTAATATGGCAAAAAAGGCATTTTCCTGGAATTTGAATCATTTTCCTTTATCAAAGTACACCCTATCCAAAACTCTTGAGAAAATTACAATCTATAAACCTGTCTTCCTTGTGTGTCTAAATCAAAACGATCTTTTCAAGGAGGAGACTTTATTAGTACTATGGCCTCCCACCCCACAGATTCCCCCCCCCCCCCCGCCCCCGACCCAATCCCCCACCCATCCCAACGCCAAGACATATGTCTCTGTCCTACCCAACAGTATGGTCATCTTACTGTGGTCATTGGCATATGGTCAACATATTATACCACCCACCTGGCAGGTGGCTATACTCTGGCCATCCCAGCCGTCTGTTCACACTGGTGCTAATTTGAAACCATTTCAAGTCTGAAATATAACGCAAAACAACCAAGTCTTAATCAAAATTAATCACTGCTTTGACTGACTGGGTTATACTGGTGTAGAGGATGGTCCTCATGGAGATCTCGCCAGCCTTCAGATTATTTAAAAAAGTCTATCTGTTGCCTGTTTGGGAGTTTATCAACAAGACCAAAATTAACCCTGTCTGAATACACTTCAACTTTAGTGTCAACTAACAATATTCTTCCTGTCCACTAATAATTGCATCCTCTAGGCAATCCTGACACCCCAAACTCTATAAGGTAAGGTAACACAGGTAAGTTTAACTTATGATGATTTAAATTCCATTATTATCAACTTATCAAGTATTAGTTTCACAATACTGGACAGTGAGTGCAAATAACCCTCATGAAAATTGATGAAATAAAAAAATCTCATTTATCATTGATAGATAATTATTTTAGCTGTATGCCTGAAACTAATGCAACAGCTGTTAAAATGTAAAAATAAATAACAGAAATAAGCAATCAAATTTATTGATTGATAAAAATTCACAACACTTTGAATATACTTATAGTAATCAAGGTTCATTTTTAGCCCACAACAACTTATCTGGGTTCAATCACAAGTCCAACTAATCTGCCAAAATAACAGTCCCCTGGGTTCATCAACAGAAAGAGACTCCTTATGACTGAAAGATGGTTGCCAAACTTCACAGGCAACCAAGGTGTGATAATATTTGCATGTTTAAACACTAGAATGGTAAATCCAAAGCATTCACCTCAGCAGAAAAAAAAAACATTTTGATGACTTAAAAAGTCTTTATACATTTCACTTATTTAGCAGAGAAGTCTTTATACATTTCACTTATTTAGCAGATTGGGGGGATGAAGGATGAACTTTATGAAATTCTCTCTCTTTCACACACACACACACACACACACACACACACACACACACACACACATACACACACACACACACACACATCACATCACTGTTCAACTACTGTTGTTATCATCTTTTTTGTCTTGTTTTGTTTTTGTGTGAATAAAATATTTTAAAAATAATCTAAAAAGACTGTTTTTTATAATTAGTCAAATATTGTTAAGAACCTTTTAGTTACTTCTGCATCTTTGGTTACAACAATAACTCCAGTAAGTTTTAATAAAGATATTCACTATTTCAAATTATTCGAACTCTGTTGAAGAGGGTAGAAGAAAGTCACGGGTAAAGCCAAATTACCTGTGGTAATGCTAATACGTCCACGGGCACATCTCCGGCGTCGGTGACACAAGTGAAAGTGGGAGGATATAAACTGCAGAACAATTTAACGCTGACATCACCGACATCCCTTTCTCATGCTGGTCTCCCCAGGGGTCCACCCGCCGCTAGACACAGACCTGAAGACAGACCAGGAAATGAAATGAAAATTACAAAATTGCCAACACAAAGTCGATATGGTAACATTTGTAATTACGGTTTAATGCAACTCACAACAGATTAACTAGTCTGAATACGTAGAATATGCAAAGAACATTAGCTACACATACTGCAAGTGTTATCTTATTTTATGTAGGACAATAATATATGAGAAAATATGTCAGCTGAAATGCTGCCTAGGATTTGCTACTTTTATACTTTCCCGCAGCAAGGACTGGAAGTGGAAGAAAATAAGCACCGATTATATTTCTACAAGACAAGCCCTCCTTTAGTCACGTTCACCTTGGAAGTGTTCTCTATTTTTTCCTCTAATAGTATGTGTGATAATATCACTAATATCAATAAGGCAAACAAAATCATTAAAAAATAATTGGAATATTAGCTGGCGATCAAAGTGACGGATACTTTTAGGGGGGAAAGTTGCTAATTATGAGTTTGTAAGGTCACAGATATACAGTGAGAATAAAAAGAACGAAGAAAAAAAATTAATTAAAGAAAGCAAAATATACCATTGATTATTTTACTTCTTGATTACTCATGTCCAAGCCCCCTCCAGGTCACAATCTACATCTCTCTTTGCTGTGGCACTGTCATTTTTATATGGAGTGCCAGATAATGGTTTTCTTTTACTTAAGATTCATGTTGTGAGATATATATAAACTAAAGAAGGTTGTTTACCATCTCTAAGAGTAAACAATCAGACACATTATTTCATTAAATTTATATAGAATAGTCAATACTTCTGTGCAAGTCTAATACTGTTATCATTCATTCTGCTTTTGCTTCACACAAATAAAGCGATGTAATTTTTTTTTCATGTGAAGTTAGTTTTCCTTGTTACCTTTATAATTTTTTTATTTTATATCTTTATCGAGTGAGCTTTGTGATTTGCCATTGTAGGACTCGACAATGGTACAATTGAAAAATGGCACATGTTGAAAAAGAAAAGGAACTAAAATAAATAATGAAAAGAGACTGAAATTCAAAATTGCTCACGGTATCTCGACATGGCATAAAATGTCAATGGATTTCGTTCGAACAGAGAGAGAATTTAAAAAAATAGCCCAGAAAACAATCTATTTTTCTAACAAAATTGATTTTCTCACAACGTTCTGAACGGATGTAAAGCCATTGTGATAAACAACAGCAACAAAAAACAAAACAAGCATGTCTTCTTGTACATCATTGCCCCCAAAAGGCCAGGTGTCCTCAGCCGTGTGTCGCTATTGTAAACGCATTACAACTCCGGCTATTCATTATTCAGGATGAAGCATAAGGTTTTTATTTTCAACAGTAATGTTCATGCCGATTACTTGGTTGTAGAATGATGTCTTTCGACATGAGTCAGGCAAAACATACCTAAATAAATAGATAAATAAATAATCCCATTACATAACACGACACAGGCAACATTGCGTCTACAGTTATTAAACAGGAGTATGTTATAAGTATGAAAGTATTAAGTATATATGATGATGGGAGTAAGCGGTCCTGCCAAACCATTATTACGCTTACGAGTCACAATTCATGCAATCGAAATGCAATTTGTATATTCTCATGGCGCCCGTGTCTATCGATATTATATTCCTTCCGTTACTTCGCGCATCACCCCCACACGTTCACTTTAAATATCTGCGTCAGGAAAATGTGACGTGACGACGTTAATCCCGGCGTCTCCCCTTAATGGACGGGGATGGGACGGAGACGCGGACCCTGGTGTTAAAATCGCTCCTGAGACACACGCCCACTTGATCCCAAATCAATATGCCACCAATTGTCCATCCCATATTGTCCACTACCATCTGTCACTGACCAGGTCACTGGCCTTTTCTTTACTGGGAAAATTGACCATTGTGATCGAGTGCAATTAATCCAGCTCGAGTCTATAGAGCCGTTAACTGTTCTCACTAGGATAATAACTTTATAACTATCCATGAAACCGATCGAGCTAGTACGAGGAGCGACAGCCGCCGGGGTGGGTTCCTCTGGTCTTGGGCTTCAACGATACGGACTCCAAACTGACACACGCCGCCCGCCGGGCAATTTTATGCCTGCTTCCCTCCCACCATCTTAGAATTTTCCCAGCAAGCATGCGCGTGTCAATAAATAAATAAATAAATAAATGCTCAACACTATTTTATGTCGAATGATAAATTTTAGAACTATGAATATGCCTTATATTGTACAGTGATTGTTTGTGAATAATATCAAACAAAATAATATTTTACGTTTTTATTTTGACGCAATTCTTTTCGTGAATTTTCAATTGTAATTGACGCTGTCTTCTCTCTCTCTCTCTCTCTAGACTCTGAAACTCCTTAGAAGATTTTGTCACACCTCAGGACCTTTTGTTTCGGAGTTGTAAGTTGACTGAGAAATCTGTGATTATCAGTTTTCCTCTCTCTCATTCCTGACCAAGTCTGTGTAAAAAAAAACCTTTTCCATAATTGTCACCCTACCCCACTATTATTTTATTATTATTAAACTCACGGGCAGACGGTCTCTGAGATTTTTGTAACCGACATTTAACTTTCTTAATTTCCACCGAATGCTTTCTAGAACCCTGTTTCATTACCGAAACTTTGTCCAGTTTTGTGCGTGGGATGTCGCCAAAAGGCTTGACAGGTGTTACGACATGCCGAGGACTGGGCCGACAAGTCAGTTTATCTAAGGAACAGAAGTAGTAGTTAAATGGAACGATCAGACTAGTTTGGAGCCATTACTGTTTCGTGTTAAAATCGCTTTACCGGACATCCAAATTCAGTCAACGGGATTTTTTCGTCAGAGGCGCTGAGACGTCTCCCTGTGCGGAATGCAGAATATGAAAACTGCACCTCGATTAATAAATTTAATGGTTCTAAAACGCATTTAAGTCGTGAACCAGTTTAACTTTATTCTTGTCCGAATGCATTCTAAACCCACCTACCAGCGTGATCTTTCTTTTCCATTCGACGCGTAATGAGGCGCAATTTCTCAATAATTATTCAATGCGACAAGTGTCTTTCCTGCTCTAGCGATTACATGCTCCAAATATCCTCTCCTCATCACGAGGAACGGATACCGTCAGCCCTACCACCGAATTATAACTGATCTAACTGTTTCCTGGACACACATCTGTATTATTACTTCTTTATTTTTAGACATTCTTCTGTCGTTATCATCTTCTCTGAGCATTTCGTAATTTTGTTCAATTTGCGTCTTACTAAATTTCATACCCGATCTCTCAACTGATATGAAGCTCTCATATTCAGTCATTCTGTTTGTAACTTAGTAAACGGCAAACGCAACGTCATCTTTAGAGAATAATAACAACAGCATATTAAAAACGTTATCACTACTAGTTAAATATTATGTGAATAATAAAACCTGACCGAATGATATTTGCCCCTTTCCGGATATTAGAATTCATGAATATAGAAGAAAAGGGGTTAACAAACTGTTCTGAAAGTGTATTTCTCACCAGTAATTCTGACTTTATATTACTCAGGCATATTAAGTCAGTCATTTATCTGTATATCATTTCATAAGAAAGAGAATAACTTTTAAAAACCAGAGAGATTCATGGACAAAAATGAATGATTGAGTAGGCGTTCGTTTCGCGATATCACGCTGAAATTAATGTTAATACAAGTATGATATGAGTAACCGATTTCAGTGCCCGGAACAACACTCAGAAATACGATCTCACATTAAAAACAAGATATGTCGATTAATTGACTCTTGGAAAAAGGTCAGATTGTTTAAANTTGGAAAAAGGTCTGATTGTTTAAGTAAAATTACCTAGAGACTCAAGATTATGAATGTTTGATTGAAATGGTTTTGCAGGTTATCGCTCATTTTGTTTTCTTTTTCAGCAAAAGGTGGCGACACAATGCAAACATATCTTAAATATCCTTTTTTCCTTTGGAAAAAAGATGTGTCAATTGGATGTTTTTCAGCATTCCTCTTCTTAGGTATATCAATCTGCAAGTCGAGGATATTTGTTGTGACAACTCATGTAAAGCGTGGCGCAAGGCGTATCTTCCGCAGGAGGCGTGGCTTACTGGGAGGGCGGTACCAAAGATGTAATTGACAAGGAGGCGGGTCTTACGGGTGAGCCAATAGCGTATTAACTCTCAGCCGCTTTTGCTTTTTTTATCCCCATAACCTCAGCGTGTGATTGGCTGACTGGAGAGCTGATTTTCATACACAAACAGTATTTTTAGTTTCCACCAAACGTTCGGGGCCAAAAGGCATCAGGTCTGTAAAACCCCGAGGTCCTACAAACTACAGAAGCATAAACCACGAGCTAGTCAGGCGGACACTGGGGGTCTCTCTCCAAGTGACCAGAAGCGACCTGAGCACGGAGGGACTGTCAAATTTTATCTTCGAGGTGGCCGTCATTGCATGCGCCTGGCATTACTACGGGACTGTTGCTTTCTGTTGTTCTTGGATATTACGTAGCTCTACATCTTGACTGATCGTAGGAACAGATCTTGAATAAATATGATGTCCAACCCCACGGCTGCCTCTCTCGCCGGATATTCCTACGGGATTCCGTGGTCGACTCCCACCACCCCCGTGGATAAAGGAGTCTCCCCCACGGCGGGACACAAGGTGAGTAAACGACATGACTTTTCTCGGGAGGGGGTGCCCTCGGTGACGTTGGCAAGCAAGCAGTTTACTTTACGTCAAGTAGAAAACCGAAGGTTACGGATTGTTTATCCAGCCTCTGCAATCATTATCTCTATCAAAGTAGATATGAGAGAAGGCAACTGTCACAAAGAGAAAGAGACAGAGGGGAGGGGAAGATAGCCGTGGGCTTGGTTACAAACGCATATTTGATCCTTTTAAAAATGAAATTCTATATGCACCTCTGTCACGTAGATTCGACTGTTAATCGGAGCTTAAGATTGTCATTCACAGGTGGTAAAAATAGAAATGGAACGTTAATTGACAACAGTCACGGAATTTTGACTCATCCTTGTTGTTTTGATAGTGTAAGTTACGTGATTTATTCTCGAATAAAAAGCCACAGCTTGGCAGAGAAAACAGATATGAGGACGATTACCATAACCCCGTAACCCGACGGCCCGTGAACAAACCTCAGAACAAGGACACGATTATCAGCAGGGAAGAGCTGTTATCAAAATGATAAAGACAAGGGAATTCATGAAAATTTTCTAGATGCTTTAAAGTTTATTTCTAGTTTCTTAAAGTTCTGCCTGGCAGATGAAGATCGTCGCGTCAGCCTCATAGCGTGCTAGCCTTTCTCTAGTAGCCTACTTCCATATTATTGCGGCTTTAATCTTTGAAATTTGACAGGTAAATTCACATTTCAGATAGTTAAATCTTTGTAGGACCCACATGAAATTGGTTGTTATTGGACAAATTAATATCAGGTATTTGAATGCCAACCGGTGAAACACCATCTTGTCGGATAAGTCTTCTTTGTGTAAAAGAAGCGCTACTTATGTGTAAGAAACTTAAACCCAAGAGAGATTTTCATTAAAATGCATACAAACTGGGTCCACTGCTGTAGAGGTTATTACGGCATAGTAATATCCGGCAAGTTTTCTTTAACAAGACTGCTATTAACTAGAGACATCCCCGTTGCGAAAAACACGGCGGTGAGAGGTCAAGCCAAGCACGGCCCCGCTCTGATAAGTGGGAGAGAGAGGAGTGATCCCTCACGCGGATAATAGTAATGACACTTTAATATCTCCAGCTAACCTGTAATTTATTAACCCGGTCAAAAATGTCGACCTACGACACGGACAAAGTACCTTATCAAATAAATAAATTGTATTAGAATAAGGGATGGCGGCAATGATGGCTTTGTTAATATAAATACAATCTTTAGTATATTATGGGTTGTTAAATGAGTCCACGGGTGAGTGACTGACGAGGCCCGCGACGCGGAAAGGCGAGGCAGTTGATGTGAAATTTTTCGCGATGACTACCTTATTTACTGATTAATTTCGCGATAGCCTTTAGATCAACAATTTAGAGAACGTGTTACATTTTGCGTTCTATTGCTGATGATATAGATAAAGTGATAGGCAGAGACCGTCCCGATTTAATCGCAACCCTAATCGTAATTCAGGGAGGAACAATTGACACCTCACCTCTATCAGAATAACCTTTAATATTGTTTATAAAAATAGAGCATGATTGCGGTGGTGCAATTCATTATTTCAAGTGTCGTCTGCTGGAACCGAAATTTACCGAGTCATGGAAGAAGCGAAAATAAAGAATTGATGAAATTACCAAGAAGTGGAAAGCGCACAGTGCCTGACCTTTCCGTTGACTATGAGAGGAAGGCGAGGGGCAATAGTGGGATAATTGAAATAAACCCGCTGCTATTTTTCAGCGACAAACAAGCCACTTAAGGGACAGTATGTAATATTTATGTTTACTTGTGGGGTGGAAAATAGGTGATAAGTGAAATATAGCATCAAAAGAGACCTCTTTAAGGAACAGTGTGTATTATTTATATTTACATGTGGGATAGAAGAGAAGTGAGCACGCAACACGGCAGGGGGCTAAGCTTTATTATGAAGTTAGAACACTTGAAGGGTCGGTTTTAACACCGAATGTTTGACTTTTCATCACATAGGCCTAATAACCCTAATATAGAGCCATTATTCAACATAAAACTCTCAGCCCCTTGGTGAATAAACAAACCCGCGTGTGTTCAGACTTCTAGTAAACGCAGCTCTTTTAAGTGTAACTTGTGGTATTGAGAGAGGCTTTATTTAAAATTGAGGTGCACGTGGAATACATCTTTAAGAAGATATACAAACCAAGCCTGCTTTAGATCCCATGTGTTCAGTAGAAAGTACAGACCAGCGCTTTCAATGGCGTTTGTAAAAATGGCATTACTCAGACATTTCGCGTTAAAAGCATGAGATCAGGCTTATTTTGTGTACTATGGGATTTATATGGAAGTCAACGGAGCCTTTTAACAGGCAGCCGGTGCGCCCTTTGTTTGCTGATCATTGGTCTTAATGTGCCAGAAAAATATTTTCTCTCTGTGCGTGAATTCGAGGAGTTGGCAGCTGTTACAAAGGACTGGTTAATTGTTAGAGTTAATTCTTAGGTTAAAATTTGTGCCCTTTACACCATTGTATCACAGTTGTTATTTTCCGTTATTCGTCATCAGTATTTATAAACAACCAATATTGAAAGAGCAGTAAAAGACAATAGATAATAAGTTCTTTAATACACAGTTATCATTTGAATTAAAACATATTTGAAAATCCAAAAAATACAGATAAAGAAAAGATAATAATATCCTCCATGCGTCTTGCACATTTTAGATAAAATATAATATGTGAAATTCTACAATAGTTTTGATGAAAGTATACCCAGAAGTCTCTGAACACCGCTTTACGAAATATATTTATATTAAGCAATCATGAAATATTAGTATAAAATGGGTATTCCTGTCTACATTATTAAAATACCAATGAGCTAATTAAAACCATGATGAAATACAATCTTGTTACAATGAAATTATGAATTTCCACGTCGTTTCAGATGGGATCCCCGACGTTGGTCACTCCCAAACCGTCCGTGCCAGGGACATCAACGTGCCAACCCTCCGCAATGTCCATGTACCCTTATTACGCTCCGGCGTTTCTCGGGGGATCTAACCCAGGAATGAACCTAATATACGACCCGGCAGCTATGTACAACTCTCTGGTAAGTCGAATGTATTATTTCTCTCTTTTGAATTTTTTTTTATTTTTTGTAATTATCCCCAAAAGACGTATAGGTCATTTACCTAGTGAAAAGGTAATAGACCGCAACGTTGGTCAGATGCTAAATGTATGTTCCAGTGTTAGAGTTATTCATAATTATCATCAGAAATTTGAAATTGTTTTTCCAGTGTCGTCGTCCTGAAAAAATCGTCCGTGAATAATATGTGAATAATCGAAAATGATTTTCCTTAAAAGATGCAGGTCACCCTTTGATTCAGTTAGTGCAATTTGGGTCTGTGTTTGAGTATATATGAGATTATGTTCGACCATCTCCATTTTGATATACTTTTCCTCACACTTTGTTAGCCGAATTGTAATTAGTCATGTTTTGTCAGTTGAATGTCAACTCAGACAAGTTTATAATTACATAATTGGACAAGAACAACTCGGCAAGGTTAACAATTAATTTTCTGAAATATGTTGCACGCAGGATTATTACAATATGTTACAGCTCATTATATGAAGTACTTTGAATGGAAAATAAATTGTATTAATTTCACCTTTGTAATATACCAGGTATATACCACACTGCTAGCAGTTTCGATCAGTTTAAAATTGGAGGCACACGAAATACTATTTGATACAACTTTTCGGAAAACTTAAATAAATCAGATTTTTAATGATATTTCAAGGCACTTTAAGTCGTTGATGTTACCACAATCGAGGCTTCTTAACACAAGTAAAATTTATCCTAGTAATACTGTATTTGTGACTTCATGGAAATTGAATGTAAAAGAACTTGACAGTGCAAAAGAACCTCAATAATGAAAACATTTTACCGTTTACATGGGCCCCAAAAGAAAAAAGAAAAAAAAGCTCTTTAAGATTATTTAATTTTACTTCAAGTGATTGTTGTTTAAATGTTCAATGCAAACATTGTTAAGTGTATAAGAATTAATCAATTTTTTAAAAATCAAATAATTTCTAACACCCTCATCAGGCAGGATGCCAGAGGTTCAGTTAAACTGACATAAAATAAAGTTGGCGGTTGATGTAGGAAGGGGAAGGCCTAAAGTAGAAAAACCTTAGATTTTGTTGTAAAATTCTTTGTGATTATTAGGTCAATGTTTTGTGCCTTGCTGTCGCCGAACAGCTATTGTCATGTGTAAGGGACACAGCACCAGTGGCGATGGCGTGAGGATAGTCTGTAAAATGTCACTTCATGACAGGGAAATCTGCCTGTTTACCTACGGCGATTCACACTACTGAAACTGTATACTCCTTCCATGAAGTGTTTTCTTGTAGGTTACTACTTTTTTGCCTATTGGTCTCTCATGATTTTGGACGTTAGTCTTTTGTTAGGAAAAAAATTGAATTATTTGAAAACCATAATAATGTTTAGCGTTCCACTTAACCAAAGTTTTACTTGGTTTACAAAGTGATATTTCGTGTTTGTAAAATTCTGACAAAGCATAATGGATCATTTTCTTTTATGATTGACTTAAAATTTCATGGTATTTTTGGGTTTTATGATCATTGTTGTTATCCTGCCATACTGGTATGACAAGCTAAGCTTTTCGAACTTCAAATTTTTGTTTTATATTGCCATCCACGCTATTCCCTCTAAATAATGAGCAATATCAAGGGTTCTGTATGCTTGACAGGAAGATGTTAGCTCACGATGCTAAGAAAAAAAAATACCGAACACCAATAAACAAAGAATTTATAAATAAGAAGATTTTCAAAACCGTCATAAATAAACATCCCTATTTTTCTTAAGGGATTGTAAAACATTTTACTCAAAGACACGATAATTCGATCAATCCAATCAAATAGTGTTCGTAGTAGAAAGCCACGGTTTTTTTGCCATCTAATTCAATAGCGACTTTCCAGGGGTTTCGCTCTGTGTCGGCCTTAGATTGTTCCATTGATTGAAAGTTATGTGTGAAGATTTGACTTGATCCCAGGCAGCGTGCAGCGTGTACGTATTGACTGTATTACGACCTGTAAAGAGGAATCGATAAAGCGACAGAGCGTCCTACGCGCCCTTTCACGAACTATGGACAACCGTTATAACTCCAGAGTCCTCATCACTAACATTATTACCGTATCATTGCAGCATATTTTTAGGTTAAATGACTTGGGAGATTTATCGGAAATTAGATTATTTATGTTATTTGGAAAGAACGATGCGCCGACTTTCACCCGCAGGTCAAGATAATCAAATGCAAGAACAAGGAATATTCATGGATTGCGTTGAGAATAAAACAGTTGGGACGCTTTGGGCTTTGTTAGAAACAGCTCAGCGTTCAGTCGAGTCCGACTATCATTGACAGTGATCTTGACGTGTACATTATGCCGAATTGACGTCGATCAAAATCGTTACATTAGAAAAGAAAAATTAACGCTATCAAGCAAATTGCGGGATAGATTTTGTAACCGAAAGAACATAATCCTAAACGGGTCAGCAAATAAAGTAAAATGATACCTGTATTAAAGGAGGAGTGAAATTTAGGATTCAGACAAATCGCTGAGATGAAGAATTATCGTGATATCAGATTGCACGCTCACTGATAATTATTTCCAAAGTAATGAAAGTTTGCTTTAAAAAGTATACTTTAATTTCTTCTCTAAACTTCGAATGATTTAAACGATATAATTAAGGCAACTTTTCTATATAAAGACAGTGGATGAAGAGTGAAATTCTTAAAAATATTAAAAATAAAGACAATTTCAAATAATATAGAATAATCAAATTGTATAAACGTTACTCAACTTTCATCATATTGAGAAGGACAAGCCAGAGAAATTACAAAATGTTAAATTAAGTGATATTTGAAGAACTGACTAGAAGCGTTTTAACAATATTTAATTAATAACTTAAATTGTGCCGTCTCCTTATGCTCGGTTATAGAGAATAACAATGTGATGAGGAATAGTAAACATATCAAATTACAAAAACAATGATAGTTGAGTGGTTTCCATTAAAGATTCATATATGCAGAAAAAAACAGTTAAATATAAAACCCAGTTTTATTGTTCTTGTTGATTAAAATGGGATAAAAGATAAGAGAAAAAGCTTCCCTGTATCAATTAGTGCAGATCAATGTTTGAAACTCATCCAGAATTATAGCAGATATAGGATTGCAATTGCACAACAGATATATAAGATTAAAAAATATCTTTTGACTCACAATGAACGGCGATAATACGATTTGAAATCTATCGATAATCGGTGGCATAACCATGAGATTTATAGGCCTAGATAGGCCTATGGTTTTAATATAAATTGCAAATATAACAGATTTTTTAAGGGAAATAATAACTTGAAGGTTTTTTTAATAAAGACAAGATGTAGAGATTTTATTCGCAGTAGAGTAAAAAATAATAATAAAACATTTAGGTAGGCCTATATAAAGGAGGTTTTGTTAAATAAAAGTGGACAATCAAACCAATAATTTTCTCAAGAGATAAATTGAAAATTGATACAACTGTTTTTTCTGTCTCAGCACACGGAGCCCAAGGACAAGGCCGATCCCTCCAGTACATGGGGTGGCATGAATTCCCGTCTTTGGTACCCCAGTTTGTACGGGCAGACGACAGCCGCTGCCTTCAATGGGTACGCGGCGTCACCATACGCCTCTGGGTAAGTATTAACATGGTGATTGTACTGGGATTACGACATTAAATGTCAGTTCGAGAAATTTCGAGATAGTTTATTTTCAACAACAGGTAAAAAGCCTTAGTTTGTCTTTTTTCTTTTTTTTTCATTCATTATTGTTATCAATAGTGTGTATCTTTTTAGCGTATCTTTTTTGTGAGGGCGGTTAACATGGAAAGGAAAGTATTTGGACACGAATTTTTCACACGGTGTAAGACTCTTCTCCGTCTCCTTATTTTATCGCTCATTACGGACTCCGAACAAATTGTACTATTTTCATGTCCCACTAAACAACAATTTAGAACGACATCTCGGATTCATGAAAATTGCCCTGCTTTGCTACTGCAGTGAAATGCCATAAGATCTTGATCCGTGAAATTGTGAGAAATTTCTAATAGCCGTAAAATAAAGAATCTGTCTGCCCCTAAACAATTCAAAATCTAGTCGTATGTAATTTCAGCGAGTCTCGTCGACTTTATCGTAAAATCATGCTCCATTTGTGCATTACCAGTTAACCAGGCTATTAGCCAATTAACTTTACAAAAGCTTAACGACCTGCCATTATGTGAAATTGGCCTCGCCTCCATGTTGGAGCATCTCCTGATATTGTCTCTATAATTTGGTGACACGGGGGCCAGTCGGACCCCGCTGTGAGGGGCCGGTCCGCGTCATCGGAAGAAGAGAAGGCACGGCGCCATGACCATCAGATACGGCCACGCCTTTGTTTCCGCTATCATCACTTCCAAACCCGTGCTCTGCCATAACTTCCTCCTGTGTCACGGGCCGCGAAAACTGAGCCAAGTTAATTGAATTGCCGCATGGAGTCTCCAGCTTGGGATTCTGATACTAAATCATTATCTCGTCCAACCTCACACCTAACAAGTCAGGCGGCCGAGTAAAAAGCAGTAATTAATTAATTCCCTAGCACGTATGGGCCTTGACAGCAAATCTTGGTTTTTTTTTTTTTTTTGACACTATATCTGAGTTATACCAGGGAAATTGATAGTTTATTGACCTATGCATAACTCATTGATACCAAGGATAAGTTTGAGGTGTATTTTTATCAACTGATTTTCATTTCATTTCATTTTTTTCTTTTTTTTTTTTTTTTTTTGTAAATAAATTATATAACTCCTCAGCATCCAACGGCCATTGAATCAGAGTTGATGAATTATCGCTATTGAATATCGATCTCACCCACCAGGCAAAGATCTAGATATTATTGATAGCTTGATCATCATCCTCGTACATACCTGTCAGTTGATACTGAGTCATATTTTCAATGTCAAATGTTGTATTTGTTGATTCCTGCTCCGGCGCAGTACAGTAGAATGAAGCACACAAGTGGGATTTAAAATACAAGCCCTAGCACACAGAAATACGCGTATCTCCACTTCTTAACCTCACCCAACTCTGAAAAATCGGCACATCGCAGAGAATGTGATAAGATATAATTTATCAATTAATTCATTTGACGTGTAACAGTAAATCTAACAGAATAGATGCCGCACCAGATCCAGGTCTGAGAAAAATATCATCATTATCGGCATGACTTCTATGGCGGGGGTTAATAGAGGCAATGGCAGAGCTAAGTGGGGTGAGAAAAAACCACGATAAACTGCCATCAGGAAATTTAAGGAGCATCTTAACTGCGATCTCAGATGAATAATTTTCCCCGACAAGGTTTTTGAAATATATTCTTTAAGATATGCCCTTTTCCCCTCTGTAGCATGTCTGACATTTTTTACGTGGATATTTATTGAAAACTCGGATAGTAATGTTCCAGATCGTACAGGAAAAAAAAATGTTTAAAATATCTCATAATTTTCCCCCTCCCTACACCGACTTCTGTGTATGAATGGTGAGGTGGGTGAGGAAAATAATCTCCGAAGAATATCATTCTAGCCTTACTGATGTAGAATGATATGTTTCGAACAATAAAATAAACTATAATTTTTTGTGATTATCATTGATGTAAAATGATTATTAATTGATAAAGTCGTCGATTAAGTCGTTTTTATCACATAGTGCTATTTCAATGTTTAGAAATTTATTTGAAAGGAAACGACTTTCTTCATTTTTTAAAATTTATTTAATTTTATTTTATCACTTGAAGTAAGTGAATACAGAACACTGAAATGTGGACTGTTTTTCATTCCAGTGCCGCTGCGCAGGGATACGGCACAACGGGCCCCATCAAAACCACAGTATCACGAGAAAACACTCGGACGCTTAAAGCATGGCTTCATGAGCACAGAAAAAATCCATACCCGACCAAAGCCGAAAAGATCATGCTAGCCATCGTGTCGCGTATGACACTGACTCAAGTCTCCACTTGGTTTGCCAATGCAAGAAGGCGTCTGAAGAAAGAAAACAAAATGACATGGGAGCCGAAATATCGATCAAATTCACAAGATGGCGACGCTGATGGTGATGGTGACGTCATTGATGACGACATGGATGAGGATGTTGACGTAGACAATCATGACGACACGAACAGTTCTGTGGATGAGACCGAAATTTTTGGAAATACAGAAAAAGGTAAGAATGATTTACAAAAACCTGACTGAAATAATTTTATTTTCTTATGATATGGAACACCATTCGATTTGAATAATAATTTTCGCCTTTTTATTTACTTTTTTCATTTCATCAAAGGACACATTTTTTGTTTATTTTGGCATATCCTACATCTAATTCATTTTGGCGTATCCTGTGTTATACAATACATACATGCTCTATTGTACCCATCAAACAATCATTTATCGAACTAGCAACATTTTATTTCAATTTCTCCCGGTCCCACTTTGTCGATTGACGAACGTGTTTGATCAAAACAGTATTTCAAAATATTATACTTTTTTCCTTTTCGTATTCAGCAAAGTTAAATGGCCAAAGAGTGCTTATCCTAAGTCCTGCCCCAGGCTACACAAATGTATTCAGCATGTGCGAAGTTTGGAGATAAAGAAAGGTTCTTTTGCGAAGAAAAGTTTCCCTTTCCTTTATTTATTAATCTGTCTGGCTGAGTCATTTATGGTTAATGTGAATTAGATATAACAAAGTGACATGTTTGACTTTTACTCAGTATTGTTGCTTCGCGGAGGTAATTATTATAGCTGACATCGACCAGTTTTTCTTCCCCATGGCAACTGCCTCGCTCCCGCCTTCCTAATCCGTCAGAGTGAAACGCATTTAAATAGCGGGGTCAATTTCATGAAAGGATATGCGACGACCTAAGCTTTTTTACAGCCTTGAGTTCTGTAATGAGATTTAAAAGAGTGGAGTTGTGAAAATGCATTTTATTGACAGATATCTTAGACATGTTTAGCGGTAAACAACGAGTCAAATTTCGACTTTGCGTCGAATATAAAGGGACTGGGTCGTCAGGTAATGAACCGCAGTGAACTGTGCTTAGATACAACAGATGAATCCCATTCTTTGTAGAAAAATATTCACCATTCAGTCGTCGGGGAATGATGAAATAAGTCTAAAAGAACCAAAACTCATTCACTGAAACATGGAAAGCCATCTATGAAGGTCCGGTTATTTGGTACTCAATCTAGATCCCACTTTAGATTAGCCCCTTTTAGTGTGAGTGCTGCTGAAAGAGACAGCGAGAGATGGGACAATAAAATAATGGGCATGGGAAAAGGAACGAACAAGACTGGCCGGTATTATGGATAAGCATTTAATTATATTGCCGAGGAGTCTCATGGAGAATGCTAATATGTTGGCCACCGTTTGCCGAAAGTCACCTGCTTTTGCGGGGGAAACCGAACTTGAAGTGTACGTTAACAATCATATACCCCTCTAGCGGCACGCAATAAATCTCTTAAGCCAACAATGGGATACTTTTTGAGTATAAAGTAATAAAAGTTTCAAACGTTAGAAAAACAGGCTGAGAAATATGGCAACTATAACGCTGCTTTCCCGGCCCGAGCCACGTGCAAAACATTACAGGGACAGAAAAATAAACAGGCTGTAGATGAGAGAGTGGTCCGTACCCCACATCAGGAAATGATTGGTAAATATGTATCACAGCGACCGAAAGTAACTCAACTAAAAACAGAATTCTCAGGAGAAAAAGATAAATACTCTGGAAAAAAGAATAAGGAAATACATGTAGGAGCATACGCGCGGAAATGAAATTTGGGGGGGGGGGGGGGGAATTGATGACAATAACAAACATAATTATGCATCAAGAATGATTAATAAAAATAGACCTGATTATACAGACCCGTTAAAACAAGAATGAAGGTAAGCAATTAAAACGAAACTCGACGGGAAAACACCTTTTGGAACGAAAATTAAGAATAGGTGATCGAAACGAGAACGGTGTTTTAAGATATGTTGACTTACGTATAGCAACAGTGAGGAAGTGACTCCAGTCAAATATCCAAGGGAAAAAAGAAACGATAACAAAGAATATACTGGTTGAAGAGCAACAAGCGCGGCGGTTGAAACTATCTTTACATTTTTTAGAAGAAATAAAGATGAAAATGAACAAAGCAAGGGCAAAAAAAGCAAAGTTGTACAATAAAGATTCAGTTGACAATATCTTTTGTTTGTGATTTAACAAGAAAAAAGGGCTGTGTTGAAGCACGTGTATTTCTCTGAAATGAAAGCTCGACGCAACAAAGAAAAAGAAAAGGCCTCAAGAGGGTAGTGAACAAAGCCTTCGATAGAAATCCCTATAGAATCTGTTAACAATAAAAAACAATGCAACCTCCAAGAAAAGCAACACAGTTTCCCGCAAACGACAAAGAAAAGAAAAAAAGAAAGAAGAAATGGACGAAAGTCAAGGATTAGGCGTGGTGGTGTGAAAACAACGTATTGGTGTCAATATTGATTAGTTTCTAAAAGCTTGCTTCACAGCAGTCCCATAGTAGAACCGCCAAGGACATCATTTTCAGGAAAAGAAAATTAAAAGGAAATCTTAAATGTTCCTAGAAAGATTAAAGGTTATATAGTGTAGATAACGGCGATCAGGGCGTAATAATATCAATACCTGAACCGTAAAGCACATTTCTCATTTTGAGTATATGTATCTTCTGTAAGTCTTAGACGATGGGTACAAGAACTACAGCAAAGTGCAGTTACAAACACCCGAATAAAAATGCTTCCAGACAAACATCTTATCTAAATAGTAGCGAGTTTTTGAGATTGCTATACTTTCATAAAGATGGTATCTCCTCAGCCAAATTTACACCTTTTTGAAAGCATCAGTCCATATTATCAAAAATGTACGCTCTTGATATTACACATTTTAGTCTAAAAGCTTAAAGTTACTAATACTGGAAACATATCGTCCCTTAAGATGTTGAACACACAGACCAAATCTTGAATCAGGGACAAGGCAACGGTTGAATAACTGCAATATTTTTTATTTCATTTGAGAATACTCTAACCTTTCAACGAATAAATCGATAGAGCTGCTTTTAAGCCATAATTTCAATTTAATGACATTAACGCAGGTTTCTACCTGAGTCAAGGGCACATCAGAGGAATAGAGGTCTCTCTACCGGATAGAAAAGGGGATATTTATTATTTCATTTTCTATTTCATTTATTCTGTTTGTTCTTTTTTGCCGCTTCTGTCATTGAAGTCCATGCCAGCGAAGAGCCGCACAATCATGTTCTAGTTTCAGACATCGAACCGTTGGACCACTAAACCAAAGAACTAAAGAACCTTTGAGAAAAAGATTCGTTGGCATGAAAAATATGGAATTTGATTTAAATTAGAGAAAAGTACTCTCTATCAGTGGCCCTTCTAGCTGTTACTAAATTGTAATTTAATAGAAGAGCCTCTGGTACAGGGTAAAGGGAAAATAGTTCTAAGGTTCACTGCTCCTTATATTAGATTTATAGCTATATTTCAAGTTAATGAGATAATTTATTTTAGTTGACCAGTAGAGACCGTTCTTGTTTCCCGGTTGCAACAGCAGTTGAAGGATGAGGCTGTGAGCATTCACGGAAAAATTTTGGTTTGGACCGTACGGCAAAATTGCACACATTGGTTTAACCCGTTTCCATCCATTTCAGACTTATGACCAACACCATTCGCCTTCATTTTTAAATTTTCTTATTAATATATATATATATGTTTATATGTGCAATTTTTAATTGTTTTATTGGTTTTTTGTTAACAGATTCACTAAAAGCTGTAAAGACGACGCTTTCAACACCAGAGTTGTCGCAGACGACAGTTTCTAGATCACGTGACGATGATTGTGCGAAAAATTCACTGGACTTTCCCCGCACGGGGGATTTAGATGAACATAACCGACATACAGACTCCGTCTCTCCAGCAGCCTGCGCTTTTCCACAAGAACTTTACGGAAGAGATAAAGTTATGGAACTTGCGGACCCATTGTCACCGTCCTCTTCCAAACCAAAAATTTGGTCCATAGCACATATAGCCACATCGAACTGTAAAGCTTTAGATGTGTCAGCGTCGCCGGCAAAACAAGCCCAAATCTTTAAACTTCACCCATCAGAGGCGGTCACAACCACAACAGCGTTAAACGCAGATGTTAAACCGTGCGCAGTGGAACTGTGAAACCCATTTTCTACTTGCTCTGGTAGTTGTTACTTATAATTTCAAGGATCCTCCGCGAGGTGGTGCTAGTCAGATAACCTGTTTTTTTATTCACTAAATAAAAATCAGGATGGGCTAGGCGGCCCTATACTGCCCTCAACCATAAAATGGAGGGGGCTTGCACTGCAGACGACCAATCAATTTGATTGATGAGATTGCGTGGACTCGGATGAAGCGTTAGAATCTGTGCTGCTTTAAACCATAGAATCAGCGAAGAAAAAAGCTTTCATTTCGCCGAAAACCTCTCAGAGAGAGAGAGAGAGAGAGAGCAAGAGAGAGCAAGAAAGTTACGTTTTACAGCTCTATTAAGAAGAGACAGGTAGCTCTTCGCCGGAAGTAATGAACTAGTTGACAAGGTAAAAGTAGAGCGTGCATATTCGAGGCAGTATATTTAAAGAAATTCGAGTTAGAAACCCTTTAAGTTTTCACTTAGAGCCTTCATTTCTCCTATTTCAGAGCGTTTGTTAGAAACCAAAATGTCAACACACTAAGAATGCGATTACACACACATATATATATATATATAGCAAATATACATACACATCTTATTTATTTTTAATTTTTAAGGAGGTGTCAACCTTTTTAAAGATTTAATTGAAAAGTAAGAACTTCTTTTGATAATGCTATATAATATGATAAGGTTAAACAATCGATTTACTTCTACCAGGTAAAGGAATCCGCCAATTTATACTGCGTTTCTGTTATAAGCCCAACGTTTGTAAATAATGTAACACCAAAGAATGCATGTGTGTAATCGTCGTTTTTTATTTCTCAATTTGTGAGTAAGACTAATTTTTTTCATTCAATTTTGCCATCGTATTTTAAGTTCATTAATATTGTAAACTGTATTTTTCAAGAGAACAAATAGAACAATGTTTGTTTAATTTCCGAGAAAAACTATATTAGTTATGAAAGGTATGATGTTTAGCTCTCCAATAAAAAAAAAGATATAAATGATGGTCTCCATTAGTCTTAGTTGTTAATTTGAAGTATTTTCCATTATGACGAGACGGGAAACAATAGGCTGCTGATCAGTCATGCAAAATAGTAATATTATCTATGTGAATACCACCAGTCCCATCCGTCATAGAACCTAACTGCCCATCTTTTCTGCAATTAATCCTTTTTTGATGCAACAATTGTTTAAATGATCACACAATTAAAAAAATTAATTGCTTTTTAGATCAGGCGGCCTTGGAGACCCCAAGGTACCTGCGAGAGTAAAGCAAATAGTATTTGTGATTAATGCACCTTGTCTCTTATGGCCTCACGAGAGCGCTTCGCTCTCGAGTTCAAAGTCGTAACACACAGTGTTTGTAATATGTTTCGTACAACATGACACCAGAAAAATGATTAGTTTGTCCTGTTGTCGTCGCTTCACAGTTTAAGGTGAAAATTATACGTACATTAGTTGTCAGTTATTTTTTGTCGAGTCCCCAGTGTATAAGAAGTACCAGCTGAAAGCGTCGAAAAAACCTGAACACAATAGATATTGAGGCACAGATAAAACACATTAACGCTGTTTAATCAAATTAATTTAGTGTTTTTTATTTTTGTTTCGCTTTTTGTTAATGTTAAAATTAATGTTATCGATTAAAGTCCACCCATTAAAAACTGAATTAAAACAAAACAGGTGGACGCTCTGAAGCAAGTGTTAAATATCGAGGTATATGCAAAGTTACCGCCATGTCTTGACCTAGAAGGCAGAGGTTTAAAAGAAGAAAGACATGTAATAGTCTTCAGAAACCCAATGTAATTTTTTTTACAGAAACAAAAAAATATTGCACTGATACAAACACGATTTGGTTTTAATAGCTTCATTCCCATCTCAAATATGAGAAATAAAACGGCATCAGGATGATTTTATGAAAGCAACAAAAATAATATATACAAATGAAAAAATATTACAAGCGTGATTTGGACAGTGAAAATACGAGCGTGTACAGCAAATTCCACCAAGTCGAATAATTGTTCCAGAAGGTCAAGCTGCTTGTACAGCGCGGCAGCCTTAGTTTTCTTCCAATTCGGAAACATACAAGCAAACAAATAAATACCTCAAGGCACAAGCGTTACAAATTCAGCAAAAAAAAAGCTGCGAGAACATGACAAATACCCTGGTGGTCCGCATGTTCACCTATGATGAGAGTAACAGGTATAACCCCTTAACGAGCGATCAATCTCTCTACTAACGCGCACCGAGAGGTGGGTGGCCCCGGGTTCGACACCGTGTAGGAAATGTCGTCTCACGGAAACATGACGAAGGTTCAAAGTAAATCCTCATAGTTATATCAAGATATAACGTTCAGGGTCATAACTCAGAGATAGAGTTATATAGGCATAGTACAGCGAACAACCGAAACTAAAAATGCCAGAACGTCAACGGCCTTGCTGGCATGGTTCTCTCACCTGGGGTCCTTCAAATATGACTAGTCACGGTCTTCGCCATATTGGCGTGGTTGTTCCAGCCCCATGCAAGGCTTCCAGCCGGGGCCACTCGTAACCTTCACTGTTACAAGGCTAGGTTCCCGCAAAACATCACCCCTTTTGGCCTTGGACAGGTTTTTACTAAGAGTCAATGCCTTCTTTGGAATGTAAAGCAACCCACAGCCCCTCCCTACCCGTGTGATACAAGCTAACGCAGTTTCTCTGACACGGTTAACAGCCTCAACTATCTATATGCATCTATATATCCTTTATACAAAAGCGTGTAATAGGTCTTAGGTCTTAAAGAAAGCAGGGCAAAATTTTTACCCTTTGTGTCTGTTATTTCAAACAGGGAAACTATCAGCCATATTCTAAGCGAATGCCGTGACTCATGTTACGTTTTTTCCAATGTTTCTAAACACCAATTTACTATATATCTTTTGAAGATCAACAAGCGACAATTGCATGGTAAATTTCATAAAAACAGAAATTTTATTTATCTTAATCTATCAAGTAATAGAAAAACTGATTCATTTGAAGTGAATGTATTTTACCACCTCGCGTTCCCAGGCAGCCTTAGACGTCAAAAGACCGCGGTAGCAGTGACATATCGTTTCTTGTGGTGGTCGCGACTCGTACGGGAACAAAGTGGAAGGTCACGTGACACTTCAATTTGTGCAATTAATGCCCCCCATTTATTACCCAACCGATCTGCGAAGTGATGAAAACGGGCGCGGTTCTGCTCATTGATCTTTTGTTGGCCCCGCTTCAGCAAAAGCTAGTTTAATCCCGGAGAAACAATCTCCATTTCGATTATCAAAGGGAAAATTAATGAAATCGAGTTATTTCATCAGGCATTAGACTTTCGATAGCAATCACACTAATTTTAGGTAGAGCGATTCTGAATCGGTTTAAATTATGTAGGGTGTTTCAATATTTGCAATGCGTACAGGGGAACTTCTGTTTTATTCCCGATCTTTTCGTAACAGGGGTTAATCCCCTTTACAATTTGCGGCTTCATTAAAACCACCACTGCCTATGTAATTCAGAGCCGTGTTCATTCACGTAATCTTCGGGAAAAGTGAACAAGGTCCGGAAAATGCAGAACTCTCTCTCTCTCTCTCTCTCTCTGCAAGGCTCGAGCGAACCAAAAAATACAATAGCGTCCCATGACAACTGTTGAATGGCATTGTTCAGCGTCCATGTAATATATTACAGGGGTTCACACGGCCGGTTGTGGAGTCATATCAGATATATGTGTCCTTTTTAAAGCATTATCCATAATATATATGCCCGTTGTGAACGTTATACATGATATATATGTGCATTTTGAACGTCAACCTTAATATACAGGTGCATTCTATATCATTCTATATGCCCATTTCCAGTGCTATTTTGATACATCTGTCCATTGTGTACATTCTTTTTTGTTCACTGAAATTACTTCACCATAAAACGGCTATATATTTTTAAAAACCGGCACCCGTTACGGCGTGGTATTCTTGAGACGCTTGTCCAACAGGTCGTTCATTTTTTCCATTCATTTCAGCAGACCGTCAGGTAATTTTTAAATTTTGCAGGATGAGGTTTGTGCCTACAAGTGTATTCACCCCCTCTCCCCCCATTCAACAGACTTTAAACACTTCATTTTTATTTTAAAAAACTATCAGAAATGTATTGAGAAAATTCAACAATTTCAACAATATTCACTGATCTGAAATGAATGAACAACAGCCAAATCGACTGAAGCTGCATTTAGATAAATATTGAGCTCAAACAAACGACTGAAACGTGTCTCAAAATGATTTCATGGAGGAAAGTGATCTTTCACATAGAAATAAGTGAATTAATTTGGTCTGGTGACGGTTTTTAACCCCGAACCGGTTTGGGATGAACAAGCCTGTGACGCCAGCCCTAGAACGTTCTCTCCAGTGGTGGGACAGTGTGTTAGCGGTGATGTGGCCCAGGGTCCTGTGACGTCAGGTTTTTTAACACTCGTTGTTAAACGTTTTGGCGGGAGTTGCCTTTAAACAAACCGGCACTGGTGTGACTGTTAGTGCAGGGAAAATCTAATGCATTTTTGAGGTTGACTGAAACATCTTTTATCTGAGTCTGTGGTATAGATTTGCAACGTTACGGGTTGAGAATTTGGGCCGTGTAACAGAGCATATATGTTCTTCGCTTTATTTGTTTTTATTTTTAATCTGAAAGTATTTTAAACTTGCGCACATTCAAGTGGTCAATATCTTTATCAATATCAATATCCTTATAATTAGGTAAGTTTAAGTTTTTAAATTACCATTTCGTAATTAACTGACACTGTTCTTTCATTCTCTCTCTCATAGGAATCATTTAATTAGTTTGATATTAGTTTGATTTTGTACGTTTCTCTGCAGGATAAATGTGACAATTTATCGCAAAACAGTAATATTTCCTGATAATTTTAGACCAATCAGTTATCTTGAGAAGCAGAGAAAATGATTTTAATAAATTAAAAAACTGATAGTTAATTGCATCTCGAATAAAAATAGGAGATACATAAAGAAAATTTCTAAAAAATATCATTTTCTCATTGATGAGTATGCAATATAATCACGTTTGAATGAAGTGAGTATACAGCATGAAAAATTCACAATAACTATTTTAAAAAATAAAAAAAAAGACTTGTTATCAGTTTTTTTCCTTAAGTAGGTTAAGTCGTCAGCTGCCTCTTCCCCCACAGCTTTTATGGTAATCGACCAAAAATAGAGAAGAAACTCTGGTAATTGTTGCAAGGATAGCTTTATTCTCACAAAAAGTTGCTTTTAAAAATTAATGAATTTTATAAATCTCCCTTTCTTGGGCTAGGTTGGGCAGGGTCATTTTGCCAGCTGTGGTGTTCCCAATATCCTGTCACCAAAACAGTGGACATACGGTGCTCCTACACCTCTAGGGTGGGCAAGTGCGTAATATCTCAGCTATTCTACAACCCAAAGTTTGTCCGTTCTCTTTAAAAAACAGGTGTTTGAATTAAATTAAATTTTGCAGATCGAAATTGGTAATGAATTGCGCCCATTCTCCCTTCTTTTCATTTTAATCTGTGAAGCTCAAGTGACGAGAGAGAAATTGACAAAGCGCAGCGGGTGGTTGATTAAAACTTGGGTTTTATTAAATTCTTGTCCAACGTATTTTTCCCGCATTAATCATCTTAGAGGAGCGTTCGTATCCCCACCAAGAGACGACATCAAAAAACTGAAGAATAGACAACATCAAAGGACATGTCTCTACAAAGGTCTTTTTTCACTTAGAGATGGAATTGCAAAGTTAATACGAATAAATC